GGGGCTTGATCCCAGGACCCTGGGATCATGACCTGAGCCGAAGGCAGACGCTTAACCGACTGAGCCCCCCAGGTGCCCCTCAAAAGCACTTTTAAATGGAGGCATTTCAAACTTTCTTTGGAAGGGATTTCAATTTAAGGTTGTCAGTTGTCTGTCCTTACTTTTTAAAATATATAGTGTATCCATCAACTTCAAGATGTAGCACTAAACCCAAGAAGCTCTCCAGGATGGAAGGAGGGCCTTCACCATCGTGTCTCACAGCCGTGGGAAACAGACCTTGCTCATTGCCAAGCACGGGTGGGAACATGGAAAGGCCTTGTTCCCCTTTGATAGTGCCATCCTTCCTCAGAGGCTGACCCCCCTCCCTTTGGCCAGATCATCCAGCACACGTATTTCTAAATCAGGACCAAAGGCAACAAAGTGTAAACTCTACATTCCATTCCTTCTGTAGGAAAGCTCTGTCAAAGTTCCCTTCTTGGAAAGGGGGAAGGTGGAGGAGTGTGCGGGCAACTGTCCCAGGAACATGTTTTCAGGGCAAATTCTCCTATCCTCCCATGGAAAGAGACTTCAAAAGGCAGCCGGTTAGAGTAATGAGCGTTGTGTCCCAAAATGGGATCCCATGTACATTCTGCTACAAAACAATTCCATTTTTAATTGACATTGGGGGGAAATGCCTATTAATAACTCTCTTGGAGATTCACACTGTGCATTGGCATGTTAAAGCCTACTGTAAGGAAACCTATTTCTGTTTAATAATGCAAGATTTCTGAAAGCTATTTGACCATATAGTCTTTTTTTAAATCTCCTGTATGGAACACCTATTAACATCTGTTCTGAGGAGTACAAATTGGGAAATGCTGATTTAATGGAAAATCGTGACCTTTTGTGTCAGCAAATCTAAATGGGAATCATTATCTATCATTCCCTTGCTGTGGGGCCCTGGGAAATTTACTTGACTTCTCTGAGTCTCTGTTTGGCCATCTTTCAAAATAAGCGAATAATTCCAACCTTACAACGGTACTGAGGACGAAATAAGCAAACGTATTGCTTGGCACCTGATGGGAGCCCTAATGACACCCTGTGGAATGCAGGTTGTGGGGCACTTTCCAGATCCCCTTCTGGAATAAAGGAAAGACTTGCTTTCCCCAGTTGCTGGGAATGCTGCCGGAAGACAGCCCTCAGCTCTCAGGCCCCTTCAGGAATTGTCTTGGCTGAAGAGAACCATCTGCCCAAGGACATGTCCCATCCTCAGGCAAGCTGGGCGGGGGTTCCAAAGGTCTGACTCTCTTGCCCAATTTTGGGGACCAGTCTGAAGGGCTGTGTCAGCTTCAGAGTTTCCCCCATTGGGTTGGCTAAGGCCTCCCTTGAGACTACACTGCAGTCTATCTTCTCCTTCTCCCCTCATCCTACTTCCATTTCCTCCTCTCTCCCCTCCCTTCCCCTTCACTCTTCTCCTTTCTACAGGTGTTAATCCAAGAGCACTCCCTAAAAAAACTTCTGCACACAAATTTCCACCTCACAGTCCCCTTCCTGGGGACCCAGTCAGCACCACTGTGATTCCAACAGCCCACCTTCCATCAGGACTTTGATGGCAGGAAAGAGAGGCGTGCATGGCACAGAGGGCCTCAGCAGGACCCAGATTCATGCATCTAAATAAGCTCCTTAAAAGAAATGCATCTCGTGCCAAGAAAATGTCCTTTCCATAAATGACTCTGACAGGCTCCCTCAGGAAGCCAGGGGCAGATAGTAAATATTTTAGGCTTGGCAGGCCATATAGGTTATGTCGTAACTACTCAACTCTGCCACTGTAGCATGAACGCAGCCACAGACAATATGTGAGACAAATGACCACGGCTGAATTCCAATAAAAATTTACTTACAGAAACAGCGGGCTGGATATGGCCAGAGGCCATCCTTTGCCAACCCTTGCCCTAGACTCTTGCTATTCAAGGCGAGTTGGTCCTAGGATCATCAACATCACCTTGAATCCTGCTAAAAAAAACAAAAACAAAAACAAAAAAAATGTTGAATCTCAGGCCCAGGCTCAGAATTTCTGAATCAGAATCTGTAATTTAGCTAGAAGATCAGGTGATCTCTAATATGTTTGAGTTTGAGCAGCAATGCTAGATAGTGCCCAGTATGGCAAGGTCACAGATGAGTATCACCCTGAACTGGTTAGTTTCTCTCTGTTTCATAATTACAGGGGAAAGACTGGAACCCAGCCTATACGGCTGATCTTGCCAAAGTATGTCACCTAGAGCAGGTCGGCTCCATGCACCCCTTTACTGGGCAAACCAAGTAAGTTCTGACTTTCTAACTGGAGGCCAGCAGTTAATTAATATGAAGGACACCTATTTATCAAAAGATATAATCAAGCTTATACAGAGAGAGGGGGAGTAAGAGGAAGAAACCTTCTTATCTTTGAGGGAAAGCTGAGTGAAGGAGATCATCTTGACTGTCAGACCCAAGAGCTCATCCTCCTGATTCATGCAGTCCTGTTTTTCCAGTAGAGACTCTGAAATATTGCATTAGTCAAATGATTCTGCAACATCATTTAAATGACATAAAATGTCTGCTTGTGCCTGAGCATGATTCTGAGGGCAGACTTGTGCCAGCCCATCTGTTTCTCTGGAGAATATATCCAGAATTAATTCTATTAGAAACAACAGGCTCGTTCTGGCAGAAGAGCTCTGGAAAGTGGATATAAAAGGCCTGTGTGCTAGAAGAACTGTCCTCATAAGGGACATCACCAGTATAAAGGCAGATATATCTTCTCATCCCCTCCATTTTTGCTCTGACAAACGCCCAGAGATGCTTTCTCGGCTGAACTTCACACTGTATCCTCTATAGCAGGGGTTGGCAAACTTCGTCTGTAAAGGGCTGGATAGTAAATATTTTAGGCTTTGTCAGCTCTAAGGTCTCTGTTACAACTGCTTGATTCTGCCATTGTGCACAAAAGTAGTCACAGACAATAGGTAAATAAATGGGGGTGGTTTGTTTAATAAAACTGTATTTACAAAAACAAGGAAGTGAGCTGGATTTGACGTACAGATTTTAGCTGGCTGATTCCTGCTCGAGCATCTGGTCTAGATCACCACTTCTTAAATTTGAATGTGCGTAGGAATCACCAGGGTTATTTTGCTAAAATGCAGAGTCTGATTCAATAGATGGATGGACCCTTACCTTTTTAACCAGCTCCCACATAACAATGATGGTGGTGGTCTAGAACTACACTCTGAGTTGCAAGGATTGAATATAGACCAATAGTTCCCAACCTTGGATGTACCCTGGAATCACCTAGAGAACTTCCTATCTCACTCCCACCCACCCTACCCCACCGCCTGCCAAATTCTGATTTCATTGATGTGGGCTATGGCTTGAGCATCAGGATTTTTAAAAGCTCCTCAGGTAATTTTGATATGCAGCTCAAATTAAGAATAGTGCATAGCAGGTGAATGAACTGCTCAGCAGTTTCTTTGATAAACATTAAATTCACTACTCAAATTTCTAAAAAGGCACATTTGTTCAGAGTGAAGTTATCCCTTGAGGAAAGAAAATATTTCTACCCAAGAGGAATGACACTATTATGTGTAAAGCAAACAAGTCCCCGAATTAGCTAAAAAGGATTCAATTTAGAGTCCAAATGGATGGATAAGCCTTATAGAAAGAACAAGCCCCTTTCTCTCAGATTGGGGCAAGAAGGAAAACACAAGATTTTGTGAGGGTGGAGCCTAAAAATTAGGGCATTCATTTTTTTTTTTTTGGACAATTTCTTCTTTTTTTTTTTATAAAGATTTTATTTATTTATTCATGAGAGACAGAGGCAGAGGGAGAAGCAGGCTCCCCGCGGAGCAGAGAGCCCAATGCGGGACTCAATCCCAGGACCCTGGGATCATGACCTGAGCCGAAGGCAGACGCTTAACCGACTGAGCCACCCAGGTGTCCCAAAATTAGGGCATTCATGTCAACTGTTTTATAGAGGGAGAGACAATCACCCAGCAAACACTTTCTGAGCACTTAGAGTGTCCCAGGGAAGGTCATCTGCTGAGTGTGGGGAATGGTGAGAAGGACCTGATTACTACAAAATCTCAGAATAGTTACTAAGAACATTAGGAAAGAGGGACACCTCGGTGGCTCGGTCAGTTAAGCGTCTGCCTTTGGCTCAGGTCATGATCCCAGGGTCCTGGGATTGAGACCCTCATCGGGCTCCTTGCTCCACGGGAAGCCTGCTTCTCCCTCTCCCTCTGCTTCTGCCACTCCCCCTGCTTGTGCTGTCTCTCTGACAAATAAATAAATAAAATCTTAAAAAAGAAAAAAGAGAACATTAGGAGAGAATGCAGAGCAGGGGACAAATAGACTTCTCAGCATTGTAATAGACCAGCTGCGGTTAGAGACATTTTTCAGTTGAATGAAAGGAAGAATTTGCTGACAGTAAAACTGTCCAAAGTTGTCATTGGTTCCCATCAGAAATGGTGAACTCCTAGTCACTGGATGATTTCAACCACCGGCAAAATCAGCACTTTCGTCCACAAAACCTATGGATCAAGAACAACCGAGCAGGGTGTTACAAGTAATTTTGGTATTAGCTGTTAAACTGCCAACCTTTGCCAATGAATGACTTTAAAAATACACTGTAGGGGGGCGCCTGGGTGGCTCAGTCGTTAAACATCTGCCTTC